AGGGAAGCCAAAGGATGATTGCTATCGTTTCATGGAAAGCTGCTATGAGGAGGCAGTCAAATGTCACTATCTGGCTCGGGATTTTGGAATTACCAAGGCAGGAACTGTCAGTCGGAAGTAGGAAAACTATTTAATAGTTTCATTTCATAGTTAAAATGAAATCCAAAACGCCAAGGCCCCATTCTATTTCATAAAACCGAAAGTTACAATTAGTTCATACATATTTTTAAATATTTACAACGGGCATTAAATAAAAGGTAACATATAATACTTTTCAACCTGCATTCCTCGACGCTTGTACATGTACTTTTTAGGATCCATCTATTCTAAAACTTATTTTTCTGTAAAATATTAGCAACAGAATGTTTAAGTTAAACTACTAAGTGGACAAATATTTCTAAATTACAATAAATCTTATTTAAAAATATTTTGTAAAATTGCAATAGACAGTAAAAGACTGTGCACAATAAAATAACGGTAAATGATATAGTTTTCTATTATGCCCTAAACTTGGGGTTTTTAACTTTTAATTTAACATAATATTAAATAATTTAACTTAACATTAATTGAATTAGAAAAAAAAATTAAATTTTATAATTGGATTTCATACCTAAAATTTTCCCTTTTCTTTTTTGATTTCAGCCTTTCTCAATTTACCAAAAATATTTTTAATAAGTTTTAATTAATAGGATTTTATGAAAATTAAATTCAATTATGCATAATTAATTAATAAAAAAAATTCTTACCTTAAAACTATAACTCGTCTATTTCCTTGTTGCTGAGCATTCTACCATTGAAATAGAGCTAAAAGCTCTTGAAAACATCTCCCGCACGCTTAGTCCTTTTTCTTGCTCGCAGACTCTCCGAATAGAACACCTATGCACAAAGAAAAACCAACTTGAGCCGCTCTCTGTGCAGGAAACTAGCTCGAGCATCTCTAGAGCGTAGAAAGCCCTACTTGAATGGGTAAAACCACCTACCTCCTCACTTCTTTCTCTTTGCATTAGATCACCCTCACTCACCATTTGTCTTCTTTTTCCTCATCTACACATGGCTACAGGAGTGTTAATGACGCGAAGGGAAGTTTTGCTCGAACCCTTCGAGACTTTGTCACGCTCGTTTGATCGAGGAAATGGAAGGAAACAATGCATATAGATGAGGCACTCAATTGCTTCCTCCTCTTTTTGGAAAATTATTCTGTCTGGACTCCTAACGTAGAGAATCATTCAGAGTCCAATGAAATCACGCCACGTGGCAGTGACAAAAAAAATTGGCCCGATAACACAGGGGAATATTTCTCCGTGTTATTCTGTGTTATTCAGACATTATTGTATGTTATTCAGGTGCTATTGTGTTCTGGGAATATTCCTGGTGTTATAATAACACACCTGGTGTTATAATACACTTAAATAATACACAATAACACCTGAATAACACGGGAGGAATATTCCCTTGTGTTACCAGCTGAATAACACGGGAGGAATGGGAGGAATATTCCCTTGTGTTACCAGACATATATATATATTTTTTTTCTGTCACCGCCAAGTGGCGTGATTTCATTGGACTCCGAATGGTTCTCTACGTTAGGAGTCCTGACCGTTAGGAGTCCTGACAGAATTGACAGAATAATTTTCCCCTTTTTTTTGTTCTATTTCTCTGGCATGGTTTCTCCTTCCTCTATCTCAACATCTCTCTCTCGCTTTATCCCTCTCATGCGGCTTACTCGTTTATTTCATTTGAATAAGGGGATGAGAGAATTAATCTCTCGTAGGTTTTCCCATGAGCGGTGGGGAAACTATCGAACGACGTGAATAGAGAGTTTTAATATGTTTTTTTCAATAGTTAATTTAATTATAAATTACAGGTTATTATTACTTCAGAAGTGCTGTAGAGGATTCACGGATGGTGAGGAGAATCCAACATTCTTTCCCGATCAAGCTACATACACGCTGCTTGAAAAGGAAGAGGGTGAAAAGCAAGGGAAAAGTCCAATAATAGATTTTTTGCAAAGTATTTATTCTAAGATAGCCTAGTTAACGTCCCTAATTGATATGTTTGTAATTTTGCCCTACACCATTGGCTTATATTCTCTGTAGTCATCTTGTCCCAGGAAGGCTGCTCTTTCCCCTCTCATCCAATGACAGTGTTGGGCTTTAGGATGTTGCCGATGGCTGTAGTGGGCTCCTGTTGACTAGGGCAATGGTGTTAGCTGCAGTGCAAAGGTCTTTTTAGCAAGCAGCATTGGTGAGTTGATGATTTCAGTAGTGCAGTTGACTTTGGCGGTGCACTTGATGTTGTTGTAGGCAGCATTGGTGGAGGATGGAATTTTAATTTTGGCGTTGGTAGCATTGGTGCATGCTGAACCTTCTGAATGATGGCCTTAGATGGTACCAACGAAAAGGAATTCAATGAGTTGGTAGCATTGGCGTTGGTAGAAGCTAAATGCTATGAAGAAAATGATATGCATATTATTCTTGAGCTAAAGAACCTCTAGTTATAGTACACGATGTGCAACCAAACAGAAATAAAAATAGTTAAATTCTAATTCAAATAACATAAACATTTCAAGACCTTAGGAAAGTTGTTATCCTTTGAGCTTATAAGAAAAACTAAAGAAAAAAAATAAGACCATAAAATATCCCAAAATGTAATTTGATCAACCAAAATCTTCAGACCCAGACGAAGATAAATAAAATACCTAGAAAAGATAAATTTCATATAAAGTTTTGTGCAAATGCTCAAGAAAATTGACACTTGGAAAATTCTAGCGAAGTGATAAAAACCATTCCACTCATCCATCACAATTCAAATTTGAAAGTAATAACAATAGCAATCAATAGTAAACAGCATATTGCATATTCAATTTTAAAATAAAAAATACCTTATAAATAAAATAGCATAGCCTTCAGCATCTTTATGATGAAGCCTTGAGTTAACCAAGCAGGAATTACAATTAAAAGCTTTGCTTGGGTGCCCTATATCAATATGGAAATTCTCCACAAGAGAATTTTGGTTTTGCCCTTCATAAAAGAGAGAAGTATTTATTTGACCACTATAACAGTAAATAAAAGATTGCAAAGCAGGAATTACAATTAAAAGCATTGGCCATAAATAAAAGATTGCAATGCTACCAACGCCAAAATTAAAATTCCACTGCTCCACTGCTACCAACGCCAAAATTAAAATTCCATCTGAATGAACCCTCTGAATGATTGCCTTAGTACATTTATTTGACCACTATAACAGTAAATAAAAGATTGCAAAGCAGGAATTACAATTAAAAGCATTGGCCATGGAAAAGGAATTCAATGAGTTGAAGGGCAGCAATGCAATCTTTTATTTACTGTTATAGTGGTCAAATAAATGCTTCTCTCTTTTATGAAGGGCAGAACCAAAATTATCTTGTGGAGAATTTCTATATTGATATAGGGCACCCAAGCAAAGCTTTTAATTGTAATTCCTGCTTGGTTAACTCAAGGCTTCATCATAAAGATGCTGAAGGCTATGCTATTTTATTTATAAGGTATTTTTTATTTTAAAATTGAATATGCAATATGCTGTTTACTATTGATTGCTATTGTTATTACTTTCAAATTTGAATTGTGATGGATGAGTGGAATGGTTTTTATCACTTCGCTAGAATTTTCCAAGTGTCAATTTTCTTGAGCATTTGCACAAACTTTATATGAAATTTATCTTTTCTAGGTATTTTATTTATCTTCGTCTGGGTCTGAAGATTTTGGTTGATCAAATTACATTTTGGGATATTTTATGGTCTTATTTTTTTTCTTTAGTTTTTCTTATAAGCTCAAAGGATAACAACTTTCCTAAGGTCTTGAAATGTTTATGTTATTTGAATTAGAATTTAACTATTTTTATTTCTGTTTGGTTGCACATCGTGTACTATAACTAGAGGTTCTTTAGCTCAAGAATAATATGCATATCATTTTCTTCATAGCATTTAGCTTATTTTGTTTTTGAGACTGCTAGTGATATACCTCTAAACACCTTCCATATCCCGTGTACCTCATAATCTTAAATTGTACTTTTAAACCTTCCAAGACTTTAAATTGTTTTGAGCCATCTCTTTGTCTAATGCTTGGTAAGGGTTTTTAGAAAGTACAGCTAAATTGAAATCTATACCAAAATTGTATACTTCTTGTGGTGACACTGAGGCTTAGCGACTTTAGAGGACTTATTGTTTCTTGGGAACCTTATTGTGTTAGCTTCAGTAGCTTTTCCCGGTGGTTCGGAGGGGCTTCGTTGCTTAACAATGCTGCTGAGACTTCTGCAATTTACACGGAGGCTCTTTTCTAACATAGAGCAGTGCCAGTGAGGTTGCTGTACCATGTGCCGTCTCTACTGAATTACGGCCTTGAGGATCTTGTTGGTGCTGTATTGTTTTAGTGAAGCATCCGCAGCAGAAGGCCTTCCTTCACTGTACACTTTTGGCATAGCCACCATGGACTGAGGCTTCAGTTTTGAGGCTGCTATTTAATTGTGCAGTGCCAGGGATGCTCTGATGCTGCTGCTGAGCAATGAGGCCAATGGAGTTGGAGAGCCATTATTTATAGTGCTATCATGCTGGAGGCCTCATTGAAGCTATAATTAGAGATGAGGGAGGATGGGTACTTCGAGTATTTTTTTCCCCTTAAGGTGGTTAGGTGGATTTCAACTCTTCCAGGCATATTAGTGTACGATCAAGAGCCTCTTTTTCATATTCATATTTGAAGGCTTGCTGTGCTCTTAATAAATTAAACGGTTCAAATTATAGCTTTGCAAATTTAAAGCTAGATTCATTACTCTATTTTGTTTTTGTTTTAGTTGTTCTGTATTTCCGAGGCATATTTAAATGTTAACCAGTATGTTACCATGGGCTGAATAATACTCAAATGTCATTAAATTTGTAGTTATTTTGATTGTTGTATCTGAGTAATATCATATTTGCCCGCAATCCATCGTGAATTAAAAAAAGCTGATTATGGTTTATCTTTCTCTAGGAACTTTACAAATGTTTTGTGGAGATACCCGGAGAATTTAGTTTTGCTACTGCAATAACATCTAATGATCTTGAAGAAATACAGAAGTTTTTAGAAAATGCTGTCAGCTCCAGGTATTTTTATAGATGAAACATGCTTGCAACTGTAAAGTAATTTTAGTTTAATTGATTATTGCTGTATATTTTGGTTAAAGGTGGTCTCACTTTTCATTTTCACTTTCAGTGGATTATTATTCTATAGTTGTCTGAAGCATAAAAAATTCATTATTTCTGTTGCTATGGTTTTCTTTTAATTGAGAAACTTACACACCTGACCCCACGTAGTGGGATTAAGGCTTTGCTGCTGTTGTTGTTGTTGAGAAACTTACATGCATACCACACTATTCTTAGGTTTTTATCTAACACCTTATATTTTATATTTACGTTTATAACATTTTGGTGCCATAAATTTATGCACGAAAGGTATATTCCACTTTTAAAAAGTTAGTAATAGTGGTATTTTTGATGCGATATTAAGGATGAGAGTTATACCTGTAATTATTGCACCTTGGATATATATTCAGTGGGGGACAACCTTCTGTAAGTAGGCTACAGTCGTCAGCGATCTATTGTTTCATACATTAAATGCTTTACTGATACAATTTTGTTTGAATAGATCCTTTAGATTCAATGCTGGATGATTGACATTGTGATTCCAATTGATGTTGTGATTTCTCCCCGTAACAATTATTTTAAATTTATATGCAGTTGTGAAGGGTTGATTATCAAAACTTTGGACAAGGATGCTACATATGCGCCTTCAAAACGATCAAACAACTGGTTAAAATTGAAAAAGGATTATATGGACAGGTGATGTGGCTGCTATGTAATATATTTTGATTTATTCTCCGGCATCTGAAACATCACATATATGTTTCTTTAACCCATTTCATTCATGTGATTTATCTTGTTTTTTATATTCCATGAATTTATAATTTGTTTTTTTTTCCCTAGCTATTATAGTTCAATAACTTTTGTATATTTACATGTTCAATTTCATAATGTTGTGGGATTTGAAATTTTGCATTTGCCCCTTTTTAGTGAGTTTAATTTTCGGTTAAATTTTTAGAAGATAGATTAGATTTCAGACGAGACACTATTTAAAAATTTTAACCTCACTTTGGTGAGGACTTGGTTTCAAGTTCCCTATAGGTGGAAGCTTCTATAGTTTATTTTCCTACTCGTCTAGAGGAAATAACTTTAGATTAAGGTTAAGTCTCTTGATGCAGAGTGTTTATCATGCAATAATGATGATTTAATTTTAGGGTTGAGTAAAAATGCACCGCCTTTTAGCTTAAAGCAGATGACGATGAACATGATCAAAATCTCATAGTTTTATCATCCCGTATTATTGTGTATCCTATTATACTTAATTAGAGGAGGTAATCGACCAAACTTGATAAAAAAATTCTTACCAATAGTTGTGGGTTGTGTTGTCTGAAGGATCTTGTAGATCTAGGGCATTAGTTTTTCTAATTGAACTATTTTTAGTTAATCTTAGCTAACAGAGGGTTCATGCTTTATCAAATAGATTACATAGTTTACTAAAGGGTTGTGAGCAATTTGGAAACTTATGGTTTTTGAATGACTATAATTTTGATGTTATTTTTGCGATGAATTATGCGTTTAGAGGGTCTCAGTCATACCTGTTCCTTTTTTGTGGTGTTTTGTAAAATCATTTGGTCCGGGGGTCCATGCCATGTTCTAATTGGCATAAGATCTTTGAGAGCGATCTTAGAGGCAGAATTGATATGACATTAGCTATTTATGAGTTTATATGAATCTAAAACTTATTGTCCTCATCAAATTGTTATGGAAGGTGTTATTGTTGCTTTAAGTTTAAGAGCAGTACATTTCACTTGAATATTTTTCATATTTTGCCTTTTTTTAATTTATATTTTTATTAAAAATTAAAATTGAAGTGCTTTACTTTTGGAATTTGAGGGAAGTTTTGATAATAAGATTTATTTGGTTTGATATTTTCTATCAACGTGGCCATAATGGAGATCATTTTTTTAATGTCATTTTGTTTCATTTGGTCTTCGTTGATTTTGCTTGCTTCCTCATATAGGATTTGATTTGCATGTTTAATATATCTTTCGAGTTTGGTCATTTTTTATGTTGATGTTGGTTATGAGGCATCGGTTTTGTCGACTATGGAGCTTGTGGCATGAAGGGTAGGACTTAAAAATTGAGACTAACAACCTTTCTTTATAGGAATGTTAGCTTTTCGAGAGTGCATATAATATGTTATGATTTGAATTTGTGTTTGAAGAATAGTTACAAATTTCGAAGTAATCACACCCTTATGCATGTTTTTGTGGCAAAGAAAAATTGATTTCCTTTTTCATCCAGGCGAGATTCTATGACTAAGTATTTAGCATGTTTACTGTAGTACATAAGGATGGATTAATTTGTTTTAGTACACATAATATTTTGATTTTTTGCTTAGATATTGGTACGTTTATCAAAGGCTATGCACAATATTTTATTTTGAATGAAACATTCACTTTTTGTTCGCTTGTATGTACATGTTGTGGATCTGATTACATATTTGGCAAATTGGAATCCATTATGTCTTTCAAAGCTTCATTATTTTGTCTGTATTTGTTCGATATTTTTGCATGGTGGTGCCCACAATATAAGTTTTTTCTCCTATAAATTGTTGGGGTCTTTAGTTTATTTATTTTTTCATGTTTTCTTAGTTCATACTTTATTTTGAGGGTTTCTAAGGCTGAATGTTCTAGAGTTAGTGAGGTGATTTTTTTTCTCCTACTAGCGAACTGTTGAGTTCACATCAAGTCCCATGCAAGTTCATTTATATTCCAATTCTTTTGTTTGGATATGTTCTTGCACAATCTAACATGCTAAATTTTCATTTTTGTTATCATTTTATGTCCTTCCATTTTTAGTATGTTGCATTATGAGCAAAATACCACAATAGTCTCTCCACTATTAAAAATGTTCAATTTATTCTCAGTGAATGCTCCAATTTAGTCCTAGACTATCAAAAGGTGCTCCAAATTAGTCTTAAATCATATTTTCCATTAAATTTAATGGTGCCTTACATGAATTGTAGGGTATGTTCTTCTTTTATGTAAATATTCAAAATCTTTGTGGTTTGTATATAAATCTTTTTTTATTTGTCATTGAAAAGTTATAATTTTTAATTTGCATTAATAAATCTCTTCATAGCAGTCATTGCTTTTTCAAATGAAAATTTTTTAAATAATCAATAATTATGCAATAAGAGCTCACTCAATTTGAAATTATATGAATTACTCAATTTCAATTGACTTTTTTTTTAATATTATTTATTAAAGAATGCATTTTAAAATAGTTTTAGTTAACTTATAAAACTAAAATGAATGAATTTATTTTTCATTTAAAACATTATGTATGTCAATAATAAAAATTATGTGATTAGTGGCAAACCATTTATATTTTTATGCAAATATTTTTTAGAATATATATATACATATAATGTTTATCATTGTTTTTAACATTTTCTAGTTCAACGCTATTCATTTCACTCAAACCACTAAAGAGTTGTGAAAAGTTTATATCATCAAGTCATTCAGATGCAATTTTATATAATCTAATATTTTTAGTGACATTCCCAATAACAAATAATATTCTTAATTTTATGATATTCATAAATTTAATTTAAAAATGTTGAAATAACTCATACCTATGTTTGGCATTGATGGACCTTCAGGCTTGTTGCCCCTCGTGTTAACCATTTTTTGAATTGACTGCCACTTCTCATTTGCATACCGAAAAAAATTACAGACCAAATGCTCTAAACTAAAAAACAAGCTCCTGTTACATTAAATTAATTTATTAACTTTATAACACAGCCAAAATAGAATCCGTGAATTGAGTTTAAATGACTGCACAAATCTATATTTAAACTCAAAATTGAAAGAATTTACGAAAAAATTTGAACATCATGCAGAAATTTTAATTTGTGTTGATAGGATTGTACGTAATTATGTGCAACACAAAAATGAAAAAACTTCTCCAAAATATTTAATCTTAGATTTGTTTCTTGTATAATTTATAAAAAAAACATATGTACACAATGCAATCTTTAAGCCTAATAAAAAACACCGTAATATAGAACATGCAAAAAAAAAGGCTTTTATAGACATACCATTAGTCTCACTCCACCTCACTTGCACGCTATGGGGCTTTTAATAGCAACACATGAGTAGGATTTAACCATTCCGCATATAACATCATATCTATGCTGTTTCAAAAATCAAAACAACAACTTGACATGCAAGTAAATGAACTATAAGAATGTTACGATGGGATCCCGACAAAATTGTGCAAACTAATAAAATAGAAAAAAAATGGGAAAAAGCAAACCAAGCTAAAAGAAGTGCCATGAAATCAATGCCAGAGAGTGGGGCAAATCAACATTAATAAAAAACTCCTAAAAAAATGCTCTGAAAGAAAGGACATCAGAACTAAAAATACTTCATAAAGGAGGTTGCGCTCATTTTAATACAAACCAAACATCCCCTTAATGCTTCTTGAAACCAAGCATCCCGAAAAAACAAAAAACATAACTAACAATAAAATGTTTGCAAAAGTCTGCAAGTGAAATTTTAAGATCATATGGAAAAAAATAATGAGACCGTTTACCCTTAAAATTGTGAAGCTCACCGGTAAATTAAGCAAATATTGATTTATGACCATTTTAGAATAATTTTTAATAGTTTGGGACTAAATTGGAGCATTTTAAAAGTCTTGGACTAAATTGACCACTTCTTAATAGTTGGGAGACTATTTTGGGCTTTTGCTTGTAGCATTATGTTCAAGAGATCATTCTGATTGACGTAGTTATAAAACTTTTGCTTGTTTGGTTCAATAAAAATTTTGGTGGCCTCCCAAGGGACTCGAAGTCTCTCTCACATATGGGCATCTATGGAGAGAAGAAAGATGCAAATGGTTGCTGCGCAAGACACCACAGTTGTGGCTTCCAAAGCCCACAACATCAAGAATGCATGAATGTGGTATTTGCAAATAAAATCTTGTAACATATATAATTTTCTTGTTGTGCTAAGAAATTTGAACATAGAATTTACTTGCTTTATCGTGAGTACGACCCATAAGTTTTTCCTATTGTGCTAAGAAAGTGCACATGGTTTCTACCATGGCGGAAATGGCATTATAATAAGGATTTTGGGGGTTTTAATGGATATTGTTCGATACTTGTGCTTGCAAGATGATATCGACAAGAGGAAAATGAAACAAGGCGATTTAAAACACACAACTCTCTTTTGTTCCTTTTCCCCCAATTTTTCCATTTTTCTTTTCTTCTTCTTCTTTTCTATTTTCTATTTTTTTTTCTTCTTTTCTTTTATGTAGAGAGAAAAAAGTGAGAAAGAAGGTGAATGACAAAAAAATAGGTGGCTTGAGTTTGAATGTTTGTGGTGCTTGCATCAAAGATTTGGAGTTGGAGATGGAGCGTGGTATGGTTTGCAAGTGAGGTGGCGATTGTTGTGTGGTGATTGATAATGAGGGTTATCAAAGATGAGGTTGGAGGTCGGTTGAGGGGTAAAGAGATAAAGAGGTTCAATGAGTTGCTTCTTTTTATTTTAAAAGCCCCTCTCTCTCTTTGTTATACTTCAACATCTAATCCAAAAGATGCAAGTAATGAGCACATTTAATTTTTATATGTTAAAATTGCATGTCTTATGAACTTTAGTTTGTCTTCAGTCATTGTTGCTCCTATTAATGACTTCTCCGTGGAGCTTAGGTCATGTTTACCCACTTCTTGTCCTCTATGATTTTTTCGT